AAACTCCACTATGGCCAAGACCAAAGAGCTGTCAAAGGACACCAGAAACAAAATTGTAGACCTGCACCAGGCTGGGAAGACTGAATCTGCAATAGGTAAGCAGCTTGGTTTGAAGAAATCAACTGTGGGAGCAATTATTAGGAAATGGAAGACATACAAGACCACTGATAATCTCCCTCGATCTGGGGCTCCACGCAAGATCTCACGCCGTGGGGTCAAAATGATCACAAGAACGGTGAGCAAAAATCCCAGAACCACACGGGGGGACCTAGTGAATGACCTGCAGAGAGCTGGGACCAAAGTAACAAAGCCTACCATCAGTAACACAATACGCCGCCAGGGACTCAAATCCTGCAGTGCGAGACGTGTCCCCCTGCTTAAGCCAGTACATGTCCAGGCCCGCCTGAAGTTTGCTAGAGTGCATTTGGATGATCCAGAAGAGGATTGGGAGAATGTCATATGGTAAGATGAAACCAAAATTGAACTTTTTGGTAAAAACTCAACTCGTCGTGTTTGGAGGACAAAGAATGCTGAGTTGCATCCAAAGAACACCATACCTACTGTGAAGCATGGGGGTGGAAACATCATGCTTTGGGGCTGTTTTTCTGCAAAGGGACCAGGACGACTGATCCGTGTAAAGGAAAGAATGAATGGGGCCATGTATCGTGAGATTTTGAGTGAAAACCTCCTTCCATCAGCAAGGGCAATGAAGATGAAACGTGGCTGGGTGTTTCAGCATGACAATGATCCCAAACACACCGCCCGGGCAACGAAGGAGTGGCTTCGTAAGAAGCATTTCAAGGTCCTGGAGTGGCCTAGCCAGTCTCCAGATCTCAACCCCATAGAAAATCTTTGGAGGGAGTTGAAAGTCTGTGTTGCCCAGCGACAGCCCCAAAACATCACTGCTCTAGAGGAGATCTGCATGGAGGAATGGGCCAAAATACCAGCAACAGTGTGTGAAAACCTTGTGAAGACTTACAGAAAACGTTTGACCTGTGTCATTGCCAACAAAGGGTATACAACAAAGTACTGAGAAACTTTTGTTATTGACCAAATACTTATTTTCCACCATAATTTGCAAATAAATTCATTAAAAATCCTACAATGTGATTTTCTGGATTTTTTTTTCTCAATTTGTCTGTCATAGTTGACGTGTACCTATGATGAAAATTACAGGCCTCTCATCTTTTTAAGTGGGAGAACTTGCACAATTGGTGGCTGACTAAATACTTTTTTCCCCCACTGTGTGTGTGTGTGTGTGTGTGTATATATATATATATATATGTACATACACGTACATACAGTGCCTTCGGAAAGTATTGAGACCCCTTGACCTTTTCCACATTTTGTTGGGTTACAGCCTTATTCTAAAATGGATATATATTGAAGTTTTTTACTCAGCAATCTACACACAATACCCATAATGACAAAGGAAAAGCAGTTTTTTACAAATTACATAAATACCATTCAGACCCTTCGCTATGAGACTCAATTTAGCTCCGGTGCATCCTGTTTCCATTGATCATCTTTGAGATGTTTCTACAACTTGATTGGAGTCAACCTGTGGTAAATTCAATTGATTGGACATGATTTGGAAAGGCACACACCTGTCTATATAAGGTCCCACAGTTGACAGTGCATGTCAGAGCAAAAACCAAGCAATGAGGTCGAAGTAATTGTCCGTAGAGTTCCGAGACAGGATTGTGTCGAGGCACAGCTCTGGGGAAGGGTACCAAAAATTTTCTGCAGCATTCAAGGTCCTCTGTGGAGATGGGAGAACCTTCCAGAAGGACAACCATCGCTGCAGCACTCCACCAATCAGGTCTTTATGGTAGAGTGGCCAGATGGAAACCACTTCTCAGTAGAAGGCACATGACAGCCCGCTTGGAGTTTGGCACCTTAAGACTCTCAGACCATGAGAAACAAGATTCTCCTGTCTGATGAAACCAAGATTGAAATGGCCTGAATGCCAAGCGTCACGTCTGGAGGAAATCTGGCACCATCCCTATGGTGAAGCATGTTGGTGGCAGCATCATGCTGTGGGGAGGTTTTTCGGCGGTAGGGACTGGGAGACTAGTCAGGATCGTGGGAAAGATGAACGGAGCAAAGTACAGAGAGATCTTTGATGAAAACCTGCTCAAGAGCGCTCAGGACTTCAGACTGGGGTGAAGGTTCACCTTCCAACAGGACAACGACCCTAAGCACACAGCCAAGACAACACAGGAGTGGCTTTTGGACAAGTCTCTGAATGTCCTTGAGTGGCCCATCCAGAGCCTGTACTTGAACCCGATCGAACATCTCTGGAGAGACCTGAAAATAGCTGTGCAGCAACGATTCCCATCCAACCAGACAGACCTTGAGAGGCTCTGCAGAGAAGAATGGGAGAAACTCCCCAAATACAGGTCTACAATCTTGTAGCGTCATACCCAAGAAGACTTGATAATGTAATCGTTACCAAAGGTGCTTCAACAAAGTACTGAGTAAAGGGTCTGAATACTTATTTAAATGTGGTACATTTCTAAAAACCGGTTTTTGCTTTGGCATCATGGGGTATTGTGTGTAGATTGATGAGGGGGGAAAAAAACAATTTAATCTACACTGCTCAAAAAAATTATAGGGAACACTAAAATAACACATCCTAGATCTGAATGAATGAAATAATCTTATTAAATACTTTTTTCTTTACATAGTTGAATGTGCTGACAACAAAATCACACAAAAATTATCAATGGAAATCAAATGTATCAACCCATGGAGGTCTGGATTTGGAGTCACCCTCAAAATTTAAGTGGAAAACCACACTACAGGCTGATCCAACTTTGATGTAATGTCCTTAAAACAAGTCAAAATGAGGCTCAGTAGTGTGTGTGGCCTCCACGTGCCTGTATGACCTCCCTACAACGCCTGGGCATGCTCCTGATGAGGTGGCGGATGGTCTCCTGAGGGATCTCCTCCCAGACCTGGACTAAAGCATCCGCCAACTCCTGGACAGTCTGTGGTGCAACGTGGCGTTGGTGGATGGAGCGAGACATGATGTCCCAGATGTGCTCAATTGGATTCAGGTCTGGGGAACGGGCGGGCCAGTCCATAGCATCAATGCCTTCCTCTTGCACACTCCAGCCACATGAGGTCTAGCATTGTCTTGCATTAGGAGGAACCCAGGGCCAACCGCACCAGCATATGGTCTAACAAGGGGTCTGAGGATCTCATCTCGGTACCTAATGGCAGTCAGGCTACCTCTGGCGAGCACATGGAGGGCTGTGCGGCCCCCCAAAGAAATGCCACCCCACACCATGACTGACCCACCGCCAAACCGGTCATGCTGGAGGATGTTGCAAGCAGCAGAACGTTCTCCACGGCGTCTCCAGACTCTGTCACGTGCTCAGTGTGAACCTGCTTTCATCTGTGAAGAGCACAGGGCGCCAGTGGCGAATTTGCCTATCTTGGTGTTCTCTGGCAAATGCCAAATGTCCTGCACGGTGTTGGGCTGTAAGCACAACCCCCACCTATGGACGTCGGGCCCTCATACCACCCTCATGGAGTCGGTCAGAAACAGTTTGAGCAGACACATGCACATTTGTGGCCTGCTGGAGGTCATTTTGCAGGGCTCTGGCAGTGCTCCTCCTGCTCCTCCTTGCACAAAGACGGAGGTAGCAGTCCTGCTGCTGGGTTGTTGCCCTCCTACGGCCTCCTCCACGTCTCCTGATGTACTGGCCTGTCTCCTGGTAGCGCCTCCATGCTCTGGACACTAAGCTGACAGACACAGCAAACCTTCTTGCCACAGCTCGCATTGATGTGCCATCCTGGATGAGCTGCACTACCTGAGCCACTTGTATGGGTTGTAGACTCCATCTCATGCTACCACTAGAGTGAAAGCACCGCCAGCATTCAAAAGTGACCAAAACATCAGCCAGGAAGCATAGGAACTGAGAAGTGGTCTGTGGTCACCACCTGCAAAACCAGTCCTTTATTGGGGGTGTCAAGTTGGCAAACCAAATGCATAGCTGGAGCCCTGAGCTGCATATCATTTATTTGACACATCTTAGTTATGTGTGGAATGCACCCCCACAGTCCCCGCGAGTATCATACCGTCAGTATTTCGAAATACCCCGGTATACAGTATTAACGGTATATTGCCCAAGCCTAACTGGGTGTGTAGACTTTTGTTCCAGCCCTACTCTTAACACACCAGATTCTAAAAATCAACTGCTCAACAGGACCTTGTTAAGCTGACTCGGGTGTGTTTGAGCAGTGCTGGATCAAAAGCCTGCACACCCAGTGGCCTCGCTCTCCAGATGGAGAGTTGACCATGTGTTTTAAACGTTAACAGTGGTGTATATTTGGTGACATTTTTTCAGTTATGGTATTGAGTATAATTATTCAAAGCTGGTATTGGTATCGAAGCCACAATTCTGAACACTTAGTTTGTCATCTAGCTAGTTTGTCATGATTAGCCCATAGGGCTTCCCTAAACAAATGCACATGGGCAAACCCATGCTTCAGCCGTCTATAGCCTAGGCACTATGCTACTACATCTGTTAGGCTACAGGAGAATGCTCATTGCTAATGCTCATTGCTAAAATAACACACCTGCCTGATAATATGAACCATGTAGGCTATGGCCTTTGGTGAAAGAGCCAGCCCTAAAAACACTTATTTTTGCCAACATGGGCTCATTTCTGGAATGGAATATTAGCAGGTGTGTGGTGCGCGCAGACCTCAAAACTGGTATTAAATTGCATTCCAAGTGGCATTAAAAAAAGGTCTTAACGTTTTTAATTCAACTTCATGGAACCTGCAGATACCCTGCTTAAGATTGGTTGGCTTATCTACTGATTCTCCATTGTATGGTTTTTTATGTTAATCTTAATGCAGTGAGTATTTAGATAGAAGGATACCTCCTACTGTATGCTAATGTCATCAATCAATTGCCTATGGAACATTTATTTTGAAGGCCCCCATAAAGTGACTAAGACATTTTTCCCTCCCTGCCCGTCCAGGTGCTGGAGGACAATGACTACGGTCGCGCTGTGGATTGGTGGGGCCTGGGCGTGGTCATGTACGAGATGATGTGCGGTCGGCTGCCCTTCTACAACCAGGACCATGAGCGGCTGTTTGAGCTCATCCTCATGGAGGAGATCCGCTTCCCCCGGAACCTGGCCCCCGAGGGAAAGGCACTGCTCGCAGGCCTGCTCAAAAAGGACCCCAAGCAGAGGTACGTCGGGGTGGGGTTGGGATGTAGGTCTGTGTGACTGTTTGACTGGCCTGCTCAGTAAGTACACCATTTGTTTTAGTGTGTGTTCGGCTGGGTGTCTGCTCAAGAAAGGTGTGTGCGCTCGCGCATGATTGCGGCCTGCCAACACAGTCCCTAATGCAGTAGAATATACTGTTGAGATGCAAGCTGGGGTCTCTGATATTCTGTTGTTTATTGACAGGTTAGGGGGAGGACCGGATGATGCCAAAGATGTGATGTCCCACAAGTTCTTCACCTCCATCAAGTGGAAGGATGTGGTAGATAGGAAGGTGAGTGAATGGAGGCTGATAGATTAGCGGTACTGATAGTGTCAGTCAAAAAATGGTGGCATTCCAGGTCATTTTTTTGGCAGTTGCAGTTTGACATCAACTGCTGAATGACTGATCACCAAATGACCTTGCATCATCAATAAGTCAATTGTCCGAGCTAGAACGCCCCATAGGGCAGGAGACTATCACCTGTTTCTGTAGCGTGAGGCAGCTTGATGTAGAAGTACACCTCGTGCACCCCCTGGACAGGGCGCTAGTATATCGCAGGGCCTAAAGCCGAATCCTTTTCCTTAATGCTGAGTGCCAAGCAGAGAGGATCCTGAATCCTTTTCCTTAATGCTGAGTGCCAAGCAGAGAGGATCCTGAATCCTTTTCCTTAATGCTGAGTGCCAAGCAGAGAGGATCCTGAATCCTTTTCCTTAATGCTGAGTGCCAAGCAGAGAGGATCCTGAATCCTTTTCCTTAATGCTGAGTGCCAAGCAGAGAGGATCCTGAATCCTTTTCCTTAATGCTGAGTGCCAAGCAGAGAGGATCCTGAATCATTTTCCTTAATGATTGCAATATGTTCAGAGACTCTGACGATAACATCAACAAGCTACAACAATCACCTCCGTCACCGGCTTCATAAGGAAATGCATCGGCGAAAGTTGTCCCCACAGTGAAGGTTCGCTGCTTCCCCAATCAAAATCCCTGGATTAACACAGAGGTTGGCGCTAAACTAAAGGACAGGGCTACCGCACACAGGGCTATCGCAGACAACCCTGAGGCTACTGCTGAGGACAGGAACAAGTACAAGAAGTCCCGCTACGACCTCCGCAGAGTCATCAAATGAGAAAAAGGACCATATAGGAATAAAGTGGAATCATAATACACAGGCTCCGACGCCCGTCGCATGTGGGAGGGAATACAGTCCATTACGGATTACAAAGGAAGACCCAGCCATGATCTGCCCCACGATGCCTCTCTACCAGACGAACTCGATGCATTTTATGCACACTTCAACAATAACAATAACACCATACTGTGCATGAGGGCCCCCACTGGGTAGACTGGGTGATCTCGCGCTCTGAGGCCGACGTGAGTAAGGTCTTTAATCAAGTCAACACTCGCAAGGCCACGGGGTTGGACGGTATTCCAGGGCACATTCTCAGAGCATGCGCAGATCAGATTGCAGGCGTATTTACAGTAATTTTCAACCTCTCCTTGTCCGAGTCTGTAATCCCCACGTTTTTAAATTGACTACCATCATTCCTGTTCCCAAGAACTCGAAGGCTTCATGCCACAATGACTACCACCCTGTACCACCCTGTAGCACTCACATCTGTAATCATGAAGTGCTTTGAAAGGCTGGTTATGGCACACATCAACTCCATCATCCCAGACACCCTTAGAACAGGGCTGCCCAACCGTCTCCTGGAGATCTACCGTCCTGTGGGTTTTCAGTCCAACTGTAATTTAACAACCTGATTCTACTTATTAGCTGCTCAACAAGACCTTAACTAGCTGAATCAGATATGCTAAATTAGGGTTGGACTGAAAACCTACAGGAAAGTAGATCTCCAGGAAGAGGGCTGGGCAGCCCTGCCCTAGACCCACTCTAATTTGCATACCGCTCTAACAGATCCATAGACGACGCAATCTCAAATGCACGCCACACTGCCCTCACCCACCTATACTGAACAAAAATATAAACGCAACGTAAAGTGTTGGTCCCATGTTTCATGAGCTGAAATAAAATATCCCAGACATTTTCCATATGCACAAAAAACGTATTTCTCTAAAAATGTTTGGCACTATTTTTTTTATATCCATGTTAGTGACATTTCTTCTTTGCCAAGATAATCCAGCCACCTGACAGGTGTGGCATATCAAGAAGCTGATTAAACCGCATGATCATTACACAGGTGCACCTTGTGCTGGGGACAATAAAAGGCCACTCTAAAATGTGCAGTGCCAAGCAAAGAGGCATCAGGTCCCATTTTCAGAGTCTTTGGTATGACTCAACCTATCAATCTCAGGGCGGACACTTTAACCACAAGGCCACAGAGCTGGTTGCATCATAGATCGGTATTATTTGTAGATGGCAGTCAATCAAAATTTACCCACATTGCATCACACATTTGATGCTCTCGAACTCGGCCAATATCAATATGATTTACAAATCTTCTGAGATGGTATAGGAAAGGTTAGTACTGGTACTGTGATGTCTACTTCTGGACCATTAGCCAATCACTGCTCTCTCCATCCTCAGCTGACTCCTCCCTTCAAGCCTCAGGTGACGTCGGAGACCGACACCCGCTACTTTGACGATGAGTTCACAGCACAGACCATCACAGTCACGCCTCCAGACAAGTGTGAGTTTGTGTGTGCGCGCGGTTGTATGTGCGTGTGCAAGCGTTTTTATTAGTGTGTAGCTAGGTTTTTCATCCAATTGGCGACAGATGTTCACGCGAATATTCAAACATTTGCATGAAAAACAAAAGGAGCATCAAGCTCATCGTGCACTTTCACCACCCTGTGAAGTTCATCATAACCTATTTCATCTGTAGCCTAAAACTGCATGCTTTCCCGAGTCGTAGTGACATATCATTGTGACTCCAAGTTTATTTCGATATGGATATTTGAGCATAAAGGCGTTTCCACTGCAATTTCTAGCATAATTAATTTTACAGACACAAAAAAGATCCTGCAAAACGATATCACGATACTTGGGTGCCAATACGATATGTATTGTGATTCTCATGATTCTATACGTATTGCGATTCGATACTGTGATTTTATTGCAATTCAATGTTACAAACATATTGCTCACCATATGTCTGCTGAAGAGAGACGAGAACATGAGAAAAAAAGTTTTGTTCAGTCAGGTAAATAAGTGCTGAAAACAAATTGGCTCCCTATTTAAAAAGATGGAGAAAAAGCTATGAAGGAAAAATACTGGCGTTTTGGTGCAGGTACAGCAAACTAGCGCAAAAAGAATATTGCGACATTGTCAATACGATACGATATATCGTCAAAAATAGTATCCCGATATGTAACTGTGTAGATATATATTTTCCCCCCAGTACTATTGTCTAGCGTATTTAGTTTTGGCTACATTTGTAAAGTTTACTGACAAATTTGCTGTTTCGATCAGGTCTGTCGTGACATTTTTTAATCCAACATATACTTTACTTGCATAAAAAGGTTGGAGGGAAACTTGATTTATGACACAATATGCCACCAGCAGTGACGACGTTACTGCGCTGACACTGACTGTTTTCTCTGTTTTCCAGATGACAACCTGGACTGTGAGGACCCCAACCAGCCAGCGCACTTCCCCCAGTTCTCTTACTCCGCCAGCATACGAGAGTGACAGTCAACACCATACACACACGGGTGCACACACACTGGAGAGACACACCACATCAGCTCACTCACTCGCGTCCACACTTATAAAAAAGACTGCAGTCTTGAGACACCACATAGGCCGATGGATCTCTGGTTACAGCGGGGTTCTAAGTGCCGAGGCTTGCAGCCATCTTGTCTTCTCAAACCCCGCCTACACTATGGTCATGCACAAATGCAGCCTGTGAACTGCACAGGACCTCAGTACCTCACGTTGTCAGCAGCAGCAGTAGCACATCAGCCATGCACAGGGAGGACTAGAACCTATAGGTGGCGCTATAGGACACTACTGCTCCACAGATTTGGACACAGATTCGCTCTCATTTTTCTTGTTTTCTCTCGCTCTCATTCTTTCTCTGAAACTCCCTCTTTCTATCTCCCCTTGTCCCTCTCACACAAACCCAGTAACTCACACTGCTGGATATAAGAAAAAAACACTGAAGTGATTCTTGTTTGTTCTTGTTTACACAAATGAGAACAATACCCCCCCCCCCCCCCCCCTTCTCTGATTGTTACAGTTTATAAGGAGTCATATTTCTGTGATTTTATCCAAGTGCTCTTTTCTGGAACTAGCTGTTACCAATAGTGTTGAAGTGGTCCTACTGGGCAAGGGGGGTGCGGGAGGTAGATTTGTGGTGGTGGTAACAATTAAGATGTTTCTCCCTCTGTGTTTATGACTGTGTGCTTGGAGAAATGGTGGGGAGATCCAAAACTGAATGTCTGCATTTTGTGTGCGTGTGTGTGTCAGAGTGCGGTCGTGTTGAGGTAGGGGTGTGTGTGTGTGAGCTAGCTGATTGATTGACGTAAACTTGCCTGACGTGCATCAGTATCAGTAGATTAATTTGCGACATCACACTACACGGATGTTTCCGACACAGAGCTCAAGAACCTACTCTGGAATATGAGAAAAGCTGCAGGACAGAGTACTATCATTTAACTGTAATCCAATGAAATTAACTAGTATTACACTCTTGTTTCTGACTGATGAATAGAACAATACGTGCTACAGAGAAAACGAATGGGATTTAGGGATTCACTGTACAAGGTGTATATGTACATTTTGTAAAACCCTGTTTTTAATTGAGGACTCGTCTCAACACCTCTGCTCTTTGATTGAGACACACCAGCCATGTGATTTACGAGGGTCGACTAGCACTTGGGCTGCGTTTACACAGGCAGCCCAATTTGACATTTTTTCCACTAATTGGTCTAATGACCAATCGCATCAGATATTCTCACATCAGATGTTTTTCAGAGCTGATCTGATTGGTCAACAGACCAATTAGTGGAAAAAAAAGATCAGAATTGGGCTGCCTGTGTAAACGCAGCCTTAGTTACTTAAGCAAACCTCCTTTTACTCAAATTATGAGATTTGTATGTTTTATTGTTGTTATTTTGTTGCTTTGCGCAAGTGTTTTTCTTTCAATTGTCATAAACATCTGCTGTACTATCAGAAATGGCCACACAGGTGGTGATGAGTGGATCAGTGATGGTGCGCCGTTCTGGTCACAACACCGGGTGTGTGTTGAATGTAATCACGCCTGCGCCTCTTCGCCTGGTGTCTCACTGCTGACGGTTGCTGGTCGTGACAAGGAGATCCAGGTTGTTCTCAAATATTCTGTTAGTCATGTGAGCCTTGTGTCCATTGTGTGCCATTTTGAAATCATTTCTGAGAGGAACTGTTAACTTTTTTGTCTGGTTCTCTGTATTCCACCTTGCTGTTTCCCTGACCCCTTTGAAGACATTTCTACTCTCATTTAAGAAAATTCATAAATGTCTAAATGAAAGTAAACGTCTGTTTCCTGTGACTTATTTCAATTAAAAGGAGCGCATTGTATGTATATAAGTTTTATACCGTGCGTGTGTGACGCTTGTATGCATATCACACCTGTCTGCGCAGGCTTGCATGTGTATTGTATAACCCCTCCCCCCCCGGCACACACAGACAGGTGTGTAACATACTCACTTGGTGGGAACTGTAACAAAGTTCATGTAGTGAGGCTCGCTGCATGGTACAGACTGCTCAGCCCCCTCACACGTCCGGACCGTGCAATTATGAGTAAGCAATGTTCCCTCTAAACTGAGTGCGTGCTTGGCCGTGCACGTCTCCCAGGGCTGCCACGCAGAAGAAATGCCAGGCTGCACAGAGACGCAAGAGATTGAACTTCACTGAGTTGGCCCCATTAGTTTGCGGTATATAGATCAATGTTTTTTCTGTGATCGAATCAACATATCAGCCCCTTTTCAATGCAACAAACCAAAACCAATCTAACTTTGCAAGATTGAGTCTGTGATTTTTTTGTAGGCAGAGCCAGCACGCAATGGAGTTATAGATAAGTATAGGTCAGCAATGGGGAGTTACAGCTTCCTACAAGAGGACAAAACATGTAGGCTACATTTCAAGCTGTCTTTGAAAAGCCTGTCAGTTAAAAAGCTTATGTCTTAATTAAAGGGGCACTGTTGTATTTTGAGACAGGCTTGAATATGCAAATAAACCAATAAGCAGAGGGGTAGCCTATATTGTCTAATTCTCTGTATGGTGTTAATAATTTATTTTCTAAAGTGGTTTCTTGCATTATACAACAAAATACAATGCAATTGACAGTCACCTATTTGGCCCATATGGAGTTACAGACCAGGTAAAAATCATTAATTAGTGTCAAGCTTAATTTTTAAAAGTCTCATGCAATGTAGGCCTGCATTGAACACCACATATAGGCTACTGTAGGCTATATCATAGAAATCAAAATCTATTTCCATGTGAAAGTGTTATGATTGGCTCCATTGGTTTTGTTGGTAGGCTTACATTATGATCAAATAGCCACAATAGCCTATTGGCTACTGTCTAAAACTGTAAGGGTACAATTTCAGTGTTCATTGTAAACACGTGCTGGAGGTTGCACAAAATTCTCACAACGTTCAAGTTTTCGCTCACAAGACCTAAAATTTGCTCAGAGCCCCAAGACATTTGAGGGCACATTGAGTCTAAAGAAAATGTTAAATTAGACCCGGTACTGGAATAGTGACATCCATGAGGTTCTGGGTTAATTTGACCTGCAATTTGACCTTGACCATGGTCTACATAATTTTTGACTGGTGTGTCCTAAAAACAAGATGCTTCTTCACAGGAATGGTGCAACCAGAAAGTAATCAGATTACGGTGTGTTCCGGTGACATGCATGGCTTTCTCGTGGCTTTATTTTACTAAATAACTATGAATTAATGGACTTATTTTCAAATAATTGTCAACATATAACATCACATTAAGGTGTGGGACGTCCACTGTATTACAAGGAACAATAGCAGGTCTATTTCGCTCCCCTGGGTGGCATATTCTGTCTGTTCACAATTCACCTGTGGGAAAATGGCGGCTCTCAACCCCCAACAACAGAAAGAGTTGGCCACTACTATCCGAGAGATTGTTTGTGAGGAAATTACCTCTGCCCTCGACTTGCAATTAAAACCAATAAATTAATATTTTGCACTGCTCACTTCTAAAGTGGATACCTACTCAACTGAAGTGGAACGTTTGGAGACAGCAGCCAATGTGACAGAGGGGCGACTCCATGACCTGGAAACAGCGCAAACTAAGCTAGAAGGGGAATCACAAATCGATTTCATACTTTTATCTACACCTCTATTTTCTTTAATTAAGACATGTGAGCTTGTCTAAATACCACGATTACTACTGCCAACTTCACATTTCAGAATCTCCTAAAAGAGCCACAAGATGGCGTTTCAACGTTTCATTACTACAAAATCCTATATTCTGTGATAAATTTGAAATGGAACTAAATTAATTCATAATGATCAATAACAATTCAGTCGATGACCCCCGGATTCTATGGGATGCCACCAAAGGTAATTAAATATAATGCAACTGCATTTGCATCTTGGTTGAATAAATCACAATTAAAGAAACTGTGTTAGAGCGTTCTCAACAAACATTCTTTTCAGACCAGGTAGCTATTACTCTTTCCAAAGTCAGAACTTAAATTATTGTTAAGACAGAGAGCAGAATTTGCCATCCATCGAGTAAGACTCAACCATTACTTCCATGGTAATCATCCCAGTCATTTACTGGCCAACAAGCTATGCAGTAATGATCAATTAGCTGAGATAGCAACTATTGAATCTGAAACAGGGGAATTACTATCAGAACCCAAATTAATCAATCAAAGATTCTCCCAGTTCTATAAAGAACTGTACACCTCTGATTCTAAATCCACACCAAGCCAGACTAAGTATTTTCTAAAAGAATTAAGAACTCCTGTTCTCTCAACAGAGTAGGCCACTTCGCTGGGAGCCCGAATCTCTCTCAATGAACTCAAAAGGGTATTGGATAGCATGAATAAAGCATGAACAATACACCTGGATGGGACAATATTCCTCCTGAGGTCTATTTAACATTTTGGAATCAGTTAGGTCCACCATTGGGCAAAACGATTAATACAGACGTTCACAAAGGTTCATTTGGGAGAGATGTGAATACAGCACTAATTTCACTTTTATTTAAAAAAGGTAAGGATACCACCAGTGTTCTCACTGTTGGCCCCTATCTTTGATAAACACAGATATTTCTAAAATGTTGTCGTCCCGTCTAGAGACTTACTTACCGAAACTATTCTACACAGACCAAAGCAGGTTTGTTAAAAAGCATTTACCCTTGGATGACCTCCGTCGACTATTACATACCTTAGATGCTTCATCAGAAACAACAGCTCCTTATCTCTCGATACAGAAGAAGCTTTTGATAGACTAGAATGGTCATATGCCTGGTCAGTCTTGGAACATATGGGAATTGGCTCCAACTTCATTCATATGATTAAAATACTATGTACCAATCCCTCAGCCATAGTTACTGTATAACAGGGAATATCTGCTCTGCTTTGTTCAGAATTATTAGAAGCAGCAGACAAGGCGATCCAATTTTGCTTTTGCTATTCTTATTATCCATGGAACCCCTGGCCCGAGGCAGTTCGTCAATCGAAGGAAATAATATTGATTTCCCTAAAATCTACTCATCATTTAATCTCATTAAACGCAGACGATATTTTACTCTATCTAGACAATGTATCTCAATTGCTCCCAAACGCATCGAAGATCATAGATACATGTTGCTTAATCTCAAGCTATAAAATGTATCTAACCAAATCAGTCCTATTGCCTCTCAAGACCCCGATGGAGGACTTACATTGTTGCATGGGGGACATATTTTAGAGATGGAGCCATCGCTAAGCAACAGTCTAAGGTTTGAGAGAGGGAGGAGAAGGTGAAGCCCACAAACTCTGTGAGCTCTCAAGACGGCTAGTTAATTGTTTTATTGTTTTAAAAAGTTAGTTTAACTCCATCTGAGGAACCCCATTAATGAACTGTTAGCCCCAGCCCCGCATTCCCGACCACCATGAGGACAGCGTTTTTTGTTGTTGTTGGGGTTCAACTGGCATCGGAAGACCTCTGCTTTTGCTCTCCTCAACAGTTGGAAATGCTGTGAGAGACTGAGCTCTGTGTGACAGGCCCGTTGGACTGTTTGCTGTCCTCAACAGTTGGAGATGCTGTGAGAGACTGAGCTCTGAGTGACAGGCCCGTTGGACTGTTTGCTCTCCTCAACAGTTGGAGATGCTGTGAGAGACTGAGCTCTGAGTGACAGGCCCGTTGGGACTGTTTGCTCTCCTCAACAGTTGGAGATGCTGTGAGAGACTGAGCTCTGAGTGACAGGCCCGTTGGACTGTTTGCTCTCCTCAACAGTTGGAGATGCTGTGAGAGACTGAGCTCTGAGTGACAGGCCCGTTGGGACTGTTTGCTCTCCTCAACAGTTGGAGATGCTGTGAGAGACTGAGCTCTGAGTGACAGGCCCGTTGGACTGTTTGCACTCGTGTGCTTATCATCAGTCACACACATGTGACCTGGATTCCGGGCTGTGAGTTTCATTGGATTGGGGACTAATTACTCTGCTATTTCTTTTATTGGTTTGAAGGGGATCTTCAATCCCTCGTACCAGGTCCTAAATAAGTGTATATCTGTGATTTATTTGAGCATTGAAATGTGTTAAATAATAATTGTTGGGTTACATATGATTCCAGTTTGAGCTTTCTACTGAGACTGATTTGATTGAGATTACACTTACGTCTTGAGTTCAATAATAATTAATAACTGTTCATTCCTTGCTTTAGTTAAAGGGATATTTAATTGGTGTGTAGTTCTATATACTGTGTAGGCATATTATATTTCCTAGTGGATAAACTATGGGTGTTTCTCAAAATGCATACTATGGTGCTCCTAGCACGCAAATTGGAGCACGGGAGGGTCGGAGTATGAGTCCAAATCAAAGTATGCGAAACGGTGCACAGGGGGCACTTCTCGAATGCGTGCTCCATTTGTACATATTTTGAAGCATACATCGATGCAAGCTTCAATGGAAAGTATGCAAAGAAATATGATGCAACCACATAAAAATGACCCAAATGTTATTGAAATCAATGGCAGCCATTATTATAGCTGAAGTGAGAGAAAATACACTCCGACTTCGGAATGAAATGTTGCCTATTCACATCTCATATCTTGCCTGACTACAATATTGTATCTTGATATGTTAATAAATACATGCTGTGTTCATTTGGCATGGTTACCTGCCTACAATACCCACTGTAGGTCGTAAGCCCATAGTAAGTCAACAGAGCTAACTGGCTAGCTACTACTGTTAGCTAGCCAGATAGCAATGAAGAATTGTTAGCTAGCTACCCACGAAGAATTGACATCTGCCATGGATAAAATTGGTTTTAGGTCATTTTTGCCTGTTATAATATCTGGTTAGCTACATTATTACGATTCACATATATCTAGCTGATAATTATCAAGTAAAATGTTTGTTTTGTGTATATCTTGTTTCGTCTCTATTGTTGCCATTGTCCTGGCTGGATGAAGGTTCAGTGAGCGTGCAGCGTGATGTAGTACAGTAGGGGGCGTGCGAGTGCTTCTCAAATGAAATGTTTTATGTGTTCTCCACACTCTCGTCCTCACAAGAACGCACTGAAGAGAACGTCCTCTGAGAATGCACTTGGAGCATGAGACTGTGGAGCACAGTAGTATGCATATTGAGAAACACCCTATATATTCTTTAGGGGTATTTCACCTACTAGGTGGAGGCTCTGCACTACTTTATGGTTAGGCCCACACATACACGTACATTTTTACATGCTGCCTGCTTACAGACCACATCGTTTATTATTGGTCCGCTAATACTAGTAAAGGCCCAGTGCACTACCTTTGTGATTTGTTTTTACAAAATGTATTTTGTATTTGAGTGTTTACCAGCATTTGTAACTTGAGTCTGGTAATTATCTGTACAAAACAGTTAATCTGATAATACTTGTGGAATATAAAAATACTTGCTTGATATATGTTTTCCAGTTTCATGAAATACTTTGCAAATGCAACTTATTTATATGTGTAAACTGAAATGGTCTATTCATTCCTTTCAGTAGATGCTCTTATTCAGAGCAACTTACATTAGTGAGTGCATACATTTTCATACTGGTCCCCGATGGGAATAGAACCCACAACCCTAGCATTGCAAACGCCATGCTCTACCAACTGAGCCACATCACCACAATCACTTGCTGTCTCAATGTACTCAATTACTGTATTGTGCATTGTTTTTCTTCATGGTGATGGAATGGTACCAAACCTAGATGACCAGCCTATGTACGATACATTAATGTACATTTACATTAAGTGGTTTGTAAGGATGGTAAATTAATACTGCACAAAAAGTTGTTATTTGATCAAGAAAAATCTTTAATTTGATGTGGAGTCTGCTCTGCTCTCATGTGGTTGGCTAGGGACCGTGGCAAAGTCTCAGCTCACTCAATAAATAGCTGCAGATGACCCCTAAGCCTGTTACCTCTTATGGGAATGAGCTTAATACCCCCTCTGACTTTAAATATCCTAGGGGGCTTGGGCTAATGCACCTAAATGTGCGAAGTATGATTTCAAGAATGGACACAAGTGACATTTGGGTACAGGACTCATGTCCTGACATTCTAGTTCTCTCGGAAACATGGTTAAATGGTTCTGTATCTGATAGAGACATTGAATTATACTGAACAAAAATATGAACGCAACATGCAACAATTTCAACGATTCTACTGAGTTACAGTTCATATAAGGAAATCCGTCAATTGAAATAAATGTATTAGGCCCTAATCTATGGATTTCACATGACTGGGCAGGGGAGGGGGCAAAGGCCCACCCACTTGGGAGCCAGGCCCACCCACTGGGGAGCCAGGCCCAGCCAATTAGAATTAGTTTTCCCCCACAAAAGGGCTTTATTACAGACAGAAATACTCCTCAGTTTCATCAGCTGTCCTGGTGGCTAGTCTCAGACGATCCCGCAGGTGAAGAAGCCGGATGTGGAGATCCTGGGTTGGCGTGGTTACACGTGGTCTGCTGTTGTGAGGCCAGTTGGATGGACTGCCAAACTCTCTAAAACAACGTTGGAGGCTGCTTATGGTAGAGAAATGAACATTCAATTCCATGGCAACAGCTCTGATGGACATTCCTGCAGTCAGCAAGCCAATTGCACGCTCCCTCAAAAGTTGAGACGTCTGTGGCATTGTGTTGTGTGACAAAACTGCACATTTTAGAGTGGCCTTTTTTTGTTCCCAGCACAAGGTGCACCTGTGTAATGATTATGCCGTTTAAGCAGCTTCTTGATATGCCACACCTGTCAGGTGGATGGATTATCTTGGTAAAGGAGAAATGCTCACTAACAGGGATGGAAACACATTTGTGCACAAAATATGAAATAAGCTTTTTGTGCATATGGAACATTTCAGCTCATTTTACATTTTTAGTCATTTAGCAGACACTCTTATCCAGAGCGACTTACATGAGCAATCAGGGTTAAGTGCCTTGCCCAAGGGAACATCGACAGATTTTTCACCTAGTCGGCTCGGGGATTAGAACCAGCAACCTTTCAGTTACCGGCACAACGCTCTTAACCACTAAGCTACCTGCTGAAACATGGGACCAACAGTTTACATGTTGTGTTTATATTTTTGTTCAGTATAAATTATTATAATGTATTTAGATGTGTCATATTACAGAAAGGGGGAAGACTGGCCATATATGTAAAATCTGATTTCTGTTCCCAAGAAATGTGAGCTCATAGTTGTGTCCATAAACCAGAATACACAATTGTTTTGTTGCTGGGATTTACCGCCCCCTTGCTGCCATGGAGGATGCTATTGGTGCAATAGCTCAGGGTTTCCCGAACTCGGTCCTGGGGCACCACTGGGTGCACGTTTTGTTTTTTGCCAAAGCACTACACAGCTGATTCAAATATTCAAAACTTGATGATGAGTTGGTTATTTGAATCAGCTGTGTACAGTGGCTTGTGAAAGTATTCACCCCCCTTGGCATTTTTCCTATTTTGTTGCCTTACAACCTGGAATTAAAATGGATTTTTTGGGGGTTTGTATCATTTGATTTACACAACATGCCTATCACTTTGAAGATGCAAGATATTTTTTATTGTGAAACAAACAAGAAATAAGACAAAAAAAACAGAAAACTTGAGCGTGCAAAGTCAATACTTTGTAGAGCCACCTTTTGCAGCAATTATAGCTGCAAGTCTCTTGGGGTATGTCTCTGTAAGCTTGGCACATCTAGCCACTGGGATTTATGCCCATTCTTCAAGGCAAAACTGCTCCAGCTCCTTCAAGTTGGATGGGTTCCGCTGGTCTACAGCAATCTTTAAGTCATACCACAGATTCTCAATTGGATTGAGGTCTGGGCTTTGACTAGGCCATTCCAAGACATTTCAATGTTGCCCCTTAAACCACTCAAGTGTTGCTTTAGCAGTATGCTGTCACGATCGTTGAGAGACGGGTCGGACCAAGGTGCAGCGTGAAAAGCGTACATGTTTATTAACTAAATAAACATTAAACAAAACAAGAAACAACGTAACGTGAAGTCCAAAGGGCCATACACATACCAGCCTAACAGGAACAAGATCCCACAATACACAGCAGGCAATGGGCTACCTAAGTATGATCCCCAATCAGAGACAATGAGCGACAGCTGCCTCTGATTGGGAATCATACCCGGCCAGACATAGAAATAGAAAAACTAGAACTGAAACATAGAATGTCTAACATAGAATTCCACACCCTGACTCAACAAACAAGAGTTCTATAGGTCAGGGCGTGACATATGCTTAGGGTCATTGTCCTGCTGGAAGGTGAACCCCCATCCCAGTCTCAAATCTCTGGAAGACTGAAACAGGTTTCCCTCAAGAATTTCCCTGTATTTAGCGCCATCCATCATTCCTTCAATTCTGACCAGTTTCTCAGTCCCTGCCGATGAAAAACATCCCCACAGCATGATGCTGCCACCACCATGCTTCACTGTGGGGATGGTGTTCTCGGGGTGATGAGAGGTGTTGGGTTTACGCCAGACATAGCGTTTTTCTTGATGGCCAAAAAGCTCAATTTTAGTCTCATCTGACCAGAGTACCTTCTTCCATATGTTTGGGGAGTCTCCCACATGCGTTTTGGTGAACACCAAATGTGTTTGCTTATTTTTTTCTTTAAGCAATGGCTTTTTTCTGGCCACTCTTCCGTAAAGCTCTGTGGAGTGTATGGCTTAAAGTGGTCCTATGGACAGATACTCCAATCTCCGCTGTGGAGCTTTGCAGCTCCTTCAGGGTTATCTTTGGTCTCTTTGTTGCCTCTCTGATTAATGCCCTCCTTGCCTGGTCTATGAGTTTTGGTGGACGGCCCTCTCTTGGCAGGTTTGTTGTGGTGCCATATTCTTTCAATTTTTTTATAATGGATTTAATGGTGCTCCGTGGGATGTTCAAAGTTTCGGATATTTTTTATAACCCAACCCTGATCTGTACTTCTCCACAACTTTGTCCCTGACCTGTTTGGAGAGCTCCTTGGTCTTCATGGTGCCGCTTGCTTGGTGGTGCCCCTTGCTTAGTGGTGTTGCAGACTCTGGGGCCTTTCAGAACAGGTGTGACAGATCATGTGACACTTAGATTGCACACAGGTGAACGTTATTTAACTAATTATGTGACTTCTGAAGGTAATTGGTTGCACCAGATCTTATTTAGGGACTTCATAGCAAAGGGGGTGAATACATATGCACGCACCACTTTTCCATTATTTATTTTTTTGAATTTTTTGAAACAAGTTATTTTTTTCATTTCGCTTCAGCAATTTGGACTATTTTGTGTATGTCCATTACATGAAATCCAAATAAAAATCCATTTAAATTACAGGTTGTAATGCAACAAAATAGGAAAAACGGCAAGTGGTATGAATACTTTTGCAATGCACTGTAGCTGACTCGACGGTTAAACCATCAACTTCTAGTGATTTTTTTTTTTCATTTCAACAGTTTGCTATTTGTGATGTGCTAGATGCCTTGCTTAAGATTGATGTAAACAAAAAAAATCCACTTGACGTGATATGCTTGATCCATTTCTGCTGCACCTCTCTGCCCCCTGATTGCTGAATCACTAACCCATATTTTTTACCTAACAATTATATCTGGTACGATCCCCAAGGTTTGGAAGGCGGCCCATGTCCTCCTCCTTCACAAAGGTGGTGACCCTTGTGACCTAAATAATTAATCTTCCTATTTCTAACCTTTCCTGCCTAGCTAAAATATTTGAATCCTTGATTAATTCTCAGCTAAGATCTTTCTTATCTTTGAAATATATTCTAAATGTACAGTACCAGTCAAAAGTTTGGACACACCTACTCATTCCAGGGTTTTTCTTAATTTTTTTCTGTTTTCTACATTGTAGAATAATAGTGAAGAGATCAAAACTATGAAAGAACACATATGGAATCATGCAGTAACCAAAAAAAATGTAAACAAAGAAAAATATATTTGAGATTTGAGATTAATCAAATAGCCACCCTTTGCCTTGATGACAGCTATGCACACTCTTGGCATTCTCTCAACCAGTTTCATGAGGTAGTCACCTGGAATGCATTTCAATTAACAGGTGTGCCTTCTTAAAAGTTAATTTGTGGAATTTCTTTCCTTCTTAATGCGTTTGAGCCAATCAGTTGTGTTGTGACAAGGTAGGGGGGGGTATACAGAAGAGAGCCCTATTTGGTAAAAGACCAAGTCCATATTATGTCAAGAACAGCTCAAATAAGCAAAGAGAAACGACAGTCCATCATTACTTTAAGACATGAAGGTCAGTCAACACAGAAAATTCAAGAACTTTGAACGTTTTTTCAAGTGCAGTCGCAAAAACCATCAAGCGCTATGATGAAGCTGGCTCTCATGAGGACCGCCACAGGAATGGAAGACCCAGAGTTACCTCTGCTGCAGAGGATAAGTTCATTAGAGTTACCAGCCTCAGAAATTGCAACCCAAATAAATGCTTCACAGAGTTAAAGTAACATGCATGTCTCAGCATCAACTGTTCAGAGGGGTTTACGATCTGTCACGATCGTCGTAGGAGTGAGTAGACCAAGGCGCAGCGTGTGAAACAAACATGACTTTATTTAATTAAAGTATCAAACAAAACACGACTCGTGAAGTCCACGGTTAACAATACCGACACGGAACAAAAACCCACAACACCCAAGGGAAAACATACAGTTTAAATATGGCTCCCAATCAGAGACAACCCACAACAGCTGACACTCGTTGCCTCTGATTGGGAGCCACTCTGGCCAACATAGACATAGAACAACTTAGAATACCCAACATAGAAAATGAACACATAGAATGAACACACCCTGGCTCAACATATAGAGTCCCAGAGCCAGGGTGTGACAGTACCCCCCCCCTAAAGGCGCGGACTGCGACCGCGCCTTAACAAAACCCCAAACAGGGGAGGGCTGGGTGGGCATTCCTCCTCGGAGGCGGCTCTGGCTCCGGGCTTGACCACCACCCTTCCATAATTCCCCCGTAGCGCCCCTGGTCCGGTCTGACCCCGCTGGCTGGATCTGGACTGGACATTGACGGAGCGGATTGCTTACGCTCCGTTGTGGAGCAGCTGACCGGTCTTACCAGGCTGACGACTCGCACCCCGGGCTTGGTGCGAGTAGCAGGAACGGGCTGAACCAGGCTGACGACTCGCACCCCTGGCTTGGTGCGAGTGGCAGGAACGGGCTGAACCAGGCTGACGACTCGCACCCCTGGCTTGGTGCGAGTGGCAGGAACGGGCTGGACCAGGCTGACGACTCGCACCCCCGGCTTGGTGCGAGTGGCAGGAACGGGCCGGACAGGGCTGGCGACGCACACCGTAGGTTTGGTGCGTGGAGCAGGGACAGGCCGGGCTGGGCTGTCGACGCACACCGTAGGCTTGGTGCGTGGAGCAGGGACAGGCCGGACAGGGCTGGCGACGCACACCGTAGGCTTGGTGCGTGGAGCAGGGACAGGCCGGACAGGGCTGGCGACGCACACCGTAGGCTTGGTGCGTGGAGCAGGGACAGGACGGACAGGGCTGGCGACACACACCGTAGGTTTGGTGCGTGGAGCAGGGACAGGCCGGGCTGGGCTGTCGACGCACACCGTAGGCTTGGTGCGTGGAGCAGGGACAGGCCGGACAGGGCTGGCGTCGCACACCGTAGGCTTGGTGCGTGGAGCAGGGACAGGCCGGACAGGGCTGGCGACGCACACCGTAGGCTTGGTGCGTGGAGCAGGGACAGGCCGGACAGGGCTGGCGACGCACACCGTAGGTTTGGTGCGTGGAGCAGGGACAGGCCGGGCTGGGCTGTCGACGCACACCGTAGGCTTGGTGCGTGGAGCAGGAACAGGCCGGGCAGGGCTGGCGACGCACACCGTAGGCTTGGTGCGTGGAGCAGGGACAGGCCGGACAGGGCTGGCGACGCACACCGTAGGTTTGGTGCGTGGAGCAGGGACAGGCCGGGCTGGGCTGTCGACGCACACCGTAGGCTTGGTGCGTGGAGCAGGAACAGGCCGGGCAGGGCTGGCGACGCACACCGTAGGCTTGGTGCGTGGAGCAGGGACAGGCCGGACCGTACTGGGAACACACACCACTGGCTTTAAACGGGGATCAGGAACGGGCCGGACCGGACTGGCAATACACCTCAGTACCTCTCGCCGTGCCTCTACGACTTCCTTCCCTCCTCTCGCCAATGGCTCCCGTAACCCGGTGGCCTTCTCTCCTCGTCTCCTATTTCGCCCTTTTGGCAGCCTCCTGCTGCCCAGTCGCCCACGCCGTGTGCCCCCCCCCTAAAAAATTCTTGGGGGTGCCTCTCGTCCGTCCGACGATGGCACTGCTGACGCCGCTGCTCCTCTCCTGCCTGGGTCTCCCCCTTCATAGCCCTCCGGTACCGGACGGCCTCCTCCTCGGTAATCTGCCCCCAACCGAGGAGGACATCCACCAGCGTCACCTCCTGCGTGTGTTCCTGGACACGCTGCTTGGTCGTTGTATGGTGGGTTTTTCTGTCACGATCGTCGTAGGAGTGAGTAGACCAAGGCGCAGCGTGTGAAACAAACATGACTTTATTTAATTAAAGTATCAAACAAAACACGACTCGTGAAGTCCACGGTTAACAATACCGACACGGAACAAAAACCCACAACACCCAAGGGAAAACATACAGTTTAAATATGGCTCCCAATCAGAGACAACCCACAACAGCTGACACTCGTTGCCTCTGATTGGGAGCCACTCTGGCCAACATAGACATAGAACAACTTAGAATACCCAACATAGAAAATGAACACATAGAATGAACACACCCTGGCTCAACATATAGAGTCCCAGAGCCAGGGTGTGACAGAATCAGGCCTTCATGGTGGAATTGCTGCAAAGAAACCACTACTAAAGGACACCATTAGGAAGAAGAGACCTGCTTGGGCCAAGAAACACGAGCAATGGACATTAGACCGGTGGAAATTTGTCCTTTGGTCTGGAGTCCAAATTTGAGATTTTTGGTTCCAACCGCCGTGTACTTGCGAGACACGGTGTGGGTGAACGGATTATCTCTGCATGTGTATTTCCCACCATAAAGCATGGAGGAGGAGGTGTTATGGTGTGGGGGTGCTTTGCTGGTTACGCTGTCTGTGATTTATTTAGTATTCAAGGCACACTTAACCAGCATGGCTACCACAGCATTCTTCAGCGATACGCAATCCCATCTGGTTTGGTCTTAGTGGAACTATCATTTGTTTTTCAACAGGACAATGACCCAACACACCTCCAGGCTGTGTAAGGGCTATTATACCATGAAGGAGTGTGATGGAGTGCTGCATCAGATGACCTGGCCTCCACAATCCCCTGACCTCAACCCAATTGAGATGGTTTGGGATGAGTCGGACCGCAGAGTGAAGTAAAAACAGCTAACAAGTGCTCAGCATATGTGGGAACTCCTTCAAGATTGTTGGAAAAGCATTCCAGGTGAAGCTGGTTGAGAGAATGCCAAGCAAAACTGTCATCAAGGCAAAGGGTGGCTATTTGAAGAATCTCAAATATAAAATACATTTTGATTTGTTTAACACTTTTCTGTTTACTACATGATTCCATATGTGTTATTTCATAGTTTTAATGTCTTCACTATTATTCTACAATGTAAAAAATTGTACAAATAAAGAAGAACCCTTGAATGAGTAGGTGTGTCCAAACTTTTGACTGGTAGTGTACATCAGTCGGGTTTTAGACCATGTCATAGCACTATCTCTGCTGCATCCCTAGTTATAAATGATGTGGTTAACTGTATGGATAAAAGGCAACATTGTGCTGCCCTCTTCATTGACCTGTCAAAGGCTTTCGATACTGTTGATCACTCACTGCTAATTCAGAGGATTTCCTCAATTGGCCTAGACCAGGCTGCATGTAACTGGTTTAAAAATTACTTGACAGATAGAACTCAATGTATATCTACTGATGGTGTTAAATCAGGTTTCCTGGATATTACGAAAGGTGTCCCGCAGGGGTCGATTCTGGGTCCTGTACCTTTTACTGTTTACATTAACAAAATCAACTTGTCTGTAAAAATTGTAACCTGCACTTGTATGCCGATGATACTGTTGTATATGCTATTGCCCCCACGGTTGTACAGACTCTATCTGAACTACAGTCTGCCTTCATTGTATTACAAAAACACTTTATTGACCTGAAATGAGTACTGAATGCAGGTAAAACTAAGTATATGTTGTTCTCTAGAGCGCATAAAAAAAGTCTGATGATTTAAGCATATGTACTTTGGAAGGTGTCTATTTTGATCGTGTCCCTGATTACAAATATCTGGGCATCTGGATAGATGAAAAGCTGTCTTTTAAAAAGCATAGTGATGAGTTAGTTAAAAAGCTGAGAATAAAAATGGGCTTCTTCCATAGAAATACAGTAGGTCCTGCCTCTCGCTAAATAGTAGATAGCAGATTATTCATTCAACGTTCCTATTCGTCCTAGACTATGGCGACATCATCTATATGAACGCAGCTGCCACTTCATTAAAGCCATTAGATGCAGTTTATCATAGTGTACTGTGCTTTATCATGGGTGACAATTTTAGTACTCTGCATTCTCTACCAGAAAGTTGGTTGGCCCTCTTTGATGTCACCTAGGTTGATACATTGCTATGTTTTCATTTATAAAGCCCTTTTACAAAAATTCCCACTGTACCTGACATCATTACTAAACTTCAGACATACGAGTTACCACACCCGGTCTCAGGGATGGCTAACTCTGGAAATTCCTTTGGTATCTACTAAGTTAGGTAAATCAGCTTTTAGTTTTCTTGCACCTTATTTGTGGAACAATCTTCAAAATGTTCTTAAATTTGATGTTCTGGTGCCTCTAGGGCAATTCAGAAAGCTGATTGAGGACCTTATTACCAATGAATGTGTTTGTTTTTTATGACCGTGTTTTTCTTTCTTTCTTTCTGCTTGCATTTTGTATTTATATTTTGATGTGTGTATTTTCTGTAATTTATGTAATTCAGGGCTCATCTGTAAAAGAGACCTTGGTCTCAGTATGATTCCCTGATAAAATAAAGGTTAAATAAAATAAATAAATATATATTGTTTACTCTCTGTGGAGTGAATGGCTGCTGAGGAGTTTTCTGGTTTCATTGTGATACACAAGGGATTACTGGGACGGAACAAATGAGAATAACATCACAGAGCATTGCTGTATACACACTCGGCATTCTTCTACAGGGGCTAAACAGATCCCACATTCTTTGCCTCCTTCCGCTGTGTCAAAATGATTATTTATCAGGAGTATCAGTGAGAAGGTGGTGTTTTTCCGTTCCTAGTTGGACACACATTAGGGAAGTGATGTAGTCATGCTGGGTTTGCACTTCTCCATTTTCTTCTTCTTTCAACATATTTGACCATTTCCAAAGAAAGTCAGTCTGTACTGAAACTGTTTGTATCTGAGACTGATTTTATCTCTAATCCACTCCCTAATGTTTTTCACTCTCTTTCTCTGTCCCCTTCTTCTGTTCTTTCTGTCCTTTCCCCTCTCTTTACTCTTCTATCTCTCACACACACTTTCTCCTCCTCCCTCTGTAATGGGTATCTGTGTAGCACAGTGTTGTTATAGGATAACAGGGCAATATAAACAGTTAGATGTTGTACATCATATCTGTAATTTGTGTCTGATTGTGTTCATGTTAAGGCATCAAAGGGCCACTTCCCTCAAGCCCTGTTGATATATCCATATCCAGGCTACACCGTCACTGTAGCAATTAAAACACAAGTTGACGAAAGTAAGGTGAGGGTGCAGCCTCTTCTGACACCACACAATGACATCACCCATAACATGTGTTTGTCCTATTCATGTCCCTCAAAGATCAGGAAAAACAAGTTGTTAGACATTCTGTGTGTTCCCCCCCACCCCCCACCCCCGGTTATTTTTCTCTCTTCCTCTTTTTTTCTCACTCTGTCATATCCTCTTCTCACTGGCAGTCAGTTTTTGATGTCTCAGTGAGATTGTGAGCTCCTCTTCCATTCTTTCTCTATAACTCTCCTCTCTTGTTGGTTTGCTGTTTGGTGGTGGTGGCCACTGTGTTAGACCATGGGAGACCCTATGGCTTTCTCCTTCCTAAACAAGAGACGACGACCACGGGTTCACTGCCAATGGAAACGGCCTCTGCTACTCCCTGGACCCCCTGGAAGATGGACCCACAGCGGCCATTGGACACCGGTCAGAGTGTTGGTTCAACCACACGGTCTACAATAATGAGAGATGTATCACAAACACAGGAAGATTCAAGCTCGACCACGACCAAACTAGAGCAAGAGGATGTGGTAACAGAAGGGTTGACTCCCCTGACTGAAGAGGGGGACAACGGTCCTGAACTGTTGACCATGTCTATGATCAGTGACTGTTCGATGCCGTTTCTGACCATAGAAGATGCTGGTCCTGATGGGTCTGGTGAGCTGACCGTGGTCAGAGAAAGTTTGACCGTAGCGAATGACGGTCCAGAGGGTTTGACTGTGGTCAGTGAGGGAGAAGGAGACGGTTCTGATGCGGTCCGTGAGGATAGGAGCACTTCCAGACGGAGCTACATAGATGGAATCTTACCGGACCTCATCAGGAGTGGACGACCACTCAGCAGGACGACAGAACAGTGGGACCCAGTTCTCAGAACACGGTGAGGAGAGCGAGAGGAGGATGAGAGCTAGGAGAGATTGAGCCTAGAAGAGAGACGGAGTGAGAGCAGAGAGAGGGAGGAGAGAGAGAGAGAGAGATCGATTAGAGGAGCAGAGAGAGAGAGCGAGAGAGAGGATGAGAGAGAGAGAGAGGAGAGGAGAGGGGAGGAGCGAGAGAAAGAACAGAGAGGAGAGAAAGACAGAGAGAGAGAAAGACAGAGAGAGAGAAAGACAGAGAGAGAGAGAAAGACAGAGAGAGAGAGAGAGAGACAGAGAGAGAGTGAGAAATGTGTGCGTGTGCTATTTCTCTCATCATCCAGGAATCTGGATTAGGTTTCTGTTTACCACTGTGTCCGAGTTTTTCATGACACTGTGTTTTTTTGAGGGAAAGGTTGTGTGCATGTGCATGTGTGTGTCTATGTGTGTGTGTGCGTGCATGCATGGTTAAAGGTACTGCCTCGAAGGTGGTTTGTATATGTGTGTGTGTGTGTGTGTTTGCATGTAACACTGTGTCTGTGTATGTCTAGTTGAAGTGAAAAGGGGAATTCTTGTAGGAAGTTGATTAACGTGTTTCTTTACAAACTTACTTCTGTGTGTTCAGTTGAAGGAGGTGCGTCGCGAGGTGGAGCTGTCTCGGAAGCGCAGTCTGAGGCTGAAGGCTCAGGTGGACAAACTACAGGAGAACAGAGAGGGACTAGGTTGGAGTCAACACAGAGAGAAGGTAACACACACAAACACACACGCACACACACAAATACAGACAAGCATTCAGAGCATTGAAGTAGAACCAGATATTTCAAAGATCCTTTCAAAGGCAGAAGGCCTGGTCATACAATCGTTGAAACACAAACAAAAACAGTGTGATGTATAGAGGTTGAATAACAACAAGAAGCACACAACAATGGGGCTTGAATGGAGTATGCTGATAACTGTGTGAGAATGGAGTATTACTTACTGCACACAATAAATTAGTCCTTTTGGTTTCTGTGGAGCACATCACCTTTAGAAGTCTGTGTGTATGTTGAACTTTCTTTCCCCTCTTTCGCTCTCTCCCTCTTTACGCCCCTCTTCTCTCTCTCTCCCACCCACCCATCCCCCCTCCCCCCTCTCTCTCTCAATCTCTCTCTTTCACTGCTCCCCCTTGCTCTTACCCTCTCGCTACCACTCTCACTCTCCCCCCTCTCTCCCTCTCGCTACCCCCCCCCCCCCCCTCGCTACCCCTATCTCTCTCCAGGTTACAGAGGAGGTTCAGTCCATTCTGAGGTTGTTGCTTCCTCTGACAGAGTCCAGCCCAGTAGAACCCTCTGGTCAGGAGAACAGTCTGGATACAGCACTGGTTCTGCTGCAGAACGTAGCCCGCAATCTAGCACTGAACCACACAGCACAGGTTAGTTTTAACTACCTCCCAGCCGCACAGTACAGGTGAGTCTAAAGTAGCTCTCAAGTCTCAGCCACACGGTACAGGTGAGCCCAGACCATGGTCCTTAAGGACATATTCAGTAGACCCAAATAGGGTGTCATGGTTTAATGACACAAACATTTTGAGGAGGTGCTACCTGATTGTCAAAACAAGAACATCTATTAACATTTTGGGATTTCAAAATATATATTTGGTCTTAGTGAATGTGACCCAGGCTTGCACTCATATAGTCTCAGGTGAGCTTAAATCCTATCAGAATATATCAGCAAACAATTTAGGCAGAATAACTGCTGAGGGTATGTCTACAAGACAAGACATTAAGGATTGTTAAACGCATGTATATCATCAATACCAAGAAACCAGTGGAGGCTCCTCAGAGGAGGAAGGGGAGGACCATCCTCCTCAGTGAATTTCATTTTTACATAAAACTATACTAAATATACAGTGAGGGAAAAAAGTATGTGATCCCCTGCTGATTTTGTACGTTTGCCCACTGACAAAGAAATGATCAGTCTATAACTTTAATGGTAGGTTTATTTGAACAGTGAGAGACAGAATAACAACAAAATAATCCAGAAAAACGCATGTCAAAAATGTTATGAATTGATTTGCATTTTAATGAGGGAAATAAGTATTTGACCCCCTCCCAATCAGAAAGATTTCTGGGTCCCAGGTGTCTTTTATACAGGTAACGAGCTGAGATTAGGAGCACACTCTTAAAGGGATCAATCAATCAATCAGATTCCAAACTCTCCACCATCGCCAAGACCAAAGAGCTCTCCAAGGATGTCAGGGACAAGATTGTAGACCTACACAAGGCTGGAATGGGCTACAAGACCATCGCCAAGCAGCTTGGTGAGAAGGTGACAGCAGTTGGTGCGATTATTCGCAAATGGAAGAAACACAAAATAACTGTCAATCTCCTTCGGCCTGGGGCTCCATGCAAGATCTCACCTCATGGAGTTGCAATGATCATGAGAACGGTGAGGAATCAGCCCAGAACTACACGGGAAGATCTTGTCAGTGATCTCAATGCAGCTGGGACCATAGTCACCAAGAAAACAATTGGTAACACACTACGCCGTGAAGGACTGAAATCCTGCAGCGCCCGCAAGGTCCCCCTGCTCAAGAAAGCACATATACAGGCCTGTCTGAAGTTTACCAATGAACATCTGAATGATTCAGAGGAGAACTGGGTGAAAGTGTTGTGGTCAGATGAGACCAAAATCGAGCTCTTTGGCATCAACTCAACTCGCCGTGTTTGGAGGAGGAGGAATGCTGCCTATGACCCCAAGAACACCATCCCCACCGTCAAACATGGAGGTGGAAACGTTATACTTTGGGGGTGTTTTTCTGCTAAGGGGACAGGACAACTTCACCGCATCAGAGGGACGATGGACAGGGCCATGTAATGTCAAATCTTGGGTGAGAACCTCCTTCCCTCAGCCAGGGCATTGAAAATGGGTCGTGGATGGGTATTCCAGCATGACAATGACCCAAAACACACGGCCAAGTCAACAAAGGAGTGGCTCAAGAAGAAGCACATTAAGGTCCTGGAGTGGCCTAGCCAGTCTCCAGACCTTAATCCCATAGAAAATCTGTGGAGGGAGCTGAAGGTTCGAGTTGCCAAACGTCAGCCTCGAAACCTTAATGACTTGGAGAAGATCTGCAAAGAGGAGTGGGACAAAATCCCTCCTGAGATGTGTGCAAACCTGGTGGACAACTACAAGAAACGTCTGACCTCTGTGATTGCCAACAAGGGTTTTGCCACCAAGTAGTAAGTCATGTTTTGCAGAGGGGTCAAATACTTATTTCCCTAATTAAAATGCAAATGAATTTATAAAATTTTTGACATACGTTTTTCTGGATTTTTTTGTTGTTATTCTGTCTCTCACTGTTCAAAGAAACCTACCATTACAATTATAGACTGATCATGTCTTTGTCAGTGGGCAAATGTACAAAATCAGCAGGGGATCAAATACTTTTTTCACTCACTGTATTCACGTCACCAAATAATTGATTAAAACACACTGTTTTGCAATGAAGGTATACAGTAGCCTCAACAGCACTCTGTAGGGTAGCACCATAGCGTAGCCGGAGGACAGCTAGCATCCGTCCTCCTCTGGGTACACTGACTTCAATACAAAACCTAGGAGGCTCATGGTTCTCACCCCCTTCCATAGACTTACACAATAATAATGACAATTTCCAATCTATCAGAGCTCTTGCAGCATGAACTGACATGTTATCCAACCAATCAGAGAATGAAGGATCAGAGAATTAAACTAGTACTGAAAGCATAAGCTACAGCTAGCTAGCACTGCAGTGCATAAAATGCGGTGAGTAGTTGACTGAAAGAGAGAGAAATACAATAATTCAACAGTTTTGAAGATTCATAAAAAAAATTCACTTTCAGTTCACTTACTTAGCTAGCAAATGCCCGCTAGCTTGTTTAGCCTACTGAAACACCCTGCTCAAACAGAGGGATGCTATGCTGGCTATGACTATCCAACACAACACTGGAACTCTTGCATATCAAAGTAAGCGTTTGGTTTGACTAATTTATTGCCACCGGGGCCCGCCAATGTAACTGCTAAACTGCTTACTTACTTTACACTGTAATCAGTGGTGATTTTAGCGTGTAAATCCTGGTGGAGCAAACTCCCGAAAAATTTTGGGGATACATGCCAGCAAAGCCACTACATAACACTAAACAATACATTAATTGGACTATAACGGTGACAAATGGTGCCCACAAACTGTTAGGGCCTACATAAAGCTATCCCAACAGCAGTCCAAACATCTTACCACTGCTACACCTGGCTATCAGCGGGGCCTTGTCTGTCAGCAAAACAGTTAATTCAGCCTAATTTACTGCCTTTTAAAAAAACATCGCTGATATGGCTGACTTGCTTAAACAAATGTGGTTTCTACTGACAATTGAGATGTACAAACTATGGCATAAGGTGACGACGAGCTGATAAGAGGCAATCCGTAATTTGATTAAGACATTAATGTGCGAGCTAGGACGGATGTAGTCAATATAACTATTTGTTCAGCACTTTAGAAATGTACAGCGACATCATTCAGAAAATGGGCCGTTCTTACAGTATTCTCCCTGTACACCAAGTCAGAAAAAGGGGGCATATAAGCAGACAATGAAAGCTCTTACAATATTCAATGATGACATTTCTCTAAAACAGGTTATAGGCTACATATGCACCACCAAGTCAGAAGAGTAGGCTAAATTATGCGTGGAAAAGTGATCAAATTATTAGGGTGAGGCACATTGGCTACTAACAGCTTACTACACAACATGCACTTAATATTACTTTCTTAGCTACAGTATACATATCTCCCTGGCATATTACATCATTTATGCAGCAGCATATAAGGACTTACCTTGTTGTGCTCACTTGAACAGGAAGGTGGCGCGGCGGTACTTCGTGGGCAAATTTTGTCATCAAACTTTGTCATCAAAGTCTGGCATTCTCTGGATTTATGGTGTTTTCAAGACAACTGGGAACTCTGAAAAAAACAAGGTTGAATTATGACGTTAGTGATCTTCAGTTCAGAGCTCTTGAAAGAGGCCCGAGTTCCCCATAGAGTTTGCAGTGACATAGTGTCCCCATGAGTGACAGAACACTGAGCCGATCACGGCGCAACTAGAGAACATTACCAACCCCTACGCTCTGTATTTTCCGCTGGCTGCCCCACCACCACAGAAAGCATTGAGCTAGGCTGAAATACCTGCATTTTGGAGCTGCCTGACTCAAGAAAGCGAAATTGAGACCATGTTTGTATGCGGCAATGTTTTTTAGTTTTTTTACATTGTTTGCAAACTGATATGTGACACGTATTAATGCCAAAATAACATGCAAAACAGGTGGGGCCCAAAACAGGTGGGGTTCTGACTATGACGTTACTTTAGCTAATATGGTGACAACAATGTAGGCTGTGTGTAGCGGTTATGATATGGTTTGTTTTGGAATGTTTTTTTCGCCTGGTCACATACAGCTGATGTGTTGTGCATTGAAGTCAACAAATTAAGGGAAGAGGTGAGGGGAGGAGAGCTCAAAGATGAGAGAAGGAATACAACGTGGCTACTATGAAAACCGATTCTTAAACGGAAGCAAACGGAACAAAATGGGGATAAACATACCTGCATTTGTCCAACTCTCATTTGCAACTGTTGGAATAATGATTACACCCTATATCAGCTAGATGCAGGCAAGAGTGCGCAAGGTGGTATTGAATGTGTCACTGTCTGTCCATGTGTCACTGTCACCTAAAATATTTATCTCGTCCTGTGTGGACCTGCGTTGTAAACTTTAATTCATAGGCTAGGTTGTAGCAACCTCATGATGGGTATAGGGAAAATGTGAGTATCATGTAGTAGCCTAAACCTATCAATGTTACATTGAACTGGGTGAATGGAAAATAAATGAGTCATCCAATATGCTGTAATAGAAATAAGGCCATGCTCATCTTAAACGGCACCGACCGGCACTGCAAGAAACACAATTTTATGTCAATGACACCTATGAATGTCAATAAAACAAACTTCCTTTCTTTCCCAACCACTCTTTCCTTTGTTTACCAAGGATTCCAAGTCCGGGGGTCAGAGAGAAAACGGTGTCTCTGACAGTGCTGTTCTACAACAGGCACTACGTGACAGAGATGATGCCATGGAGAAGTGAGTATATACACACACACACACACACAAATACACATGCAGACACACATGGCTCACACACTAACACACACACACGCACACACCGCACACACACACACACACACACCACGGCAAAGAGAGTTGTCAATGCCGCTCGTCTGTAGAAGAATAACATTGATATTTTGTTTTATTCGACTTCCTGTTGTACAGGAAGAAGGCCATGGAGGCGGAGCTTCTCCGCAGTAAGACAGAGATGATGTTACTTAACAACCAGCTGCTGGAGGCCGTGCAGAAACGACTGGAGCTCGCTCTGGAACTAGAGACCTGGAAGGTACTGAGAGAGATAGAGGGAGGGGTGGGGGAGAGGGAGAGACAGAGGGAGGGAGATGGACAAGGGAAGAGGGAAAGGATGAGGGAGGAGGGGAGAGAGGGAGAGAGGGAGAAGGAGAGGGAGGAAGGGAGAGACAGATAGAGTGCAGAGAGAGAGAGTAGAGAGAGAGAGCGTCACAGTCTATGGGAAGGAAAAAGGGATATGTCTGAGACATACAGTGGGAACATATAAGCTCAGCTGGGGAGAGGTGTTACTGTGGAAAACAAGCTCTGACTAATCAGGGGCCAATAGCAAATTACCCATGGTTTAACACCAGTGTTGGGGTAAACTACATTTAGTTAAATGAGTAATTGAATAACATTTTGTAGTAGCTTGGTGGTAGTTCAACAAAATTCTAATATTGGGAGTGTTTTCAGTAGTTAATTGCTTTTTTGCCATGTAGTGGTGTAGCTAAATACAGGAACTACACACTACGGACCAAATAATGATGATCCACACTTCTTTGAAAATATATATAATAAATTATCAACTCTGCAAGCAATTCAAGACTCTATTATTATGGTGGGAGATTATAATACCGTTTTAAATAGCTCAATGGACCGTATAGTAAATCACACTACAAACAATCACCCTCGTGCTCTTAAGGAAATCGTGAATGTCATGGATACATTAGAACTAGTAGATATATGGAGGCTTAAATATCCTGATCTAGTGAGATATACATGGCGGAGACTCAATTAAGCTAGTTGTCTTGACTTCTTTCTTATGTCATTCTTGTTGGCACCAAAAGTTTAAAAAGTGTTGATAGGGGACAGAATGCGGTCGGACCATCATATAATTGGCATATACATTACTCTTACTGAATTTCCACGTGGGCGAGGATATTGGAAATTTTATCAAAGCCTATTGGATGATAACTTGTTTTTAACTAGGACAGAGGAATTTATAACTGTTTTTTTTCCCGACATAACATAGGTACATCAAATCCCCTTATTGTATTGGACACCTTTAAATGTGCCTTTAGAGGCCATGCAATTCAGTACTCATCTCGAAAACAAAAGCATTTTATGTCAAAAGAGTCCACACTTACAAAGGCAATAGAAGGTCTAACAGAACAGATAGATAGCAATAAAAACTGTAACATAGAGGCTCAGAATAAATTAGAGAAACAAAAAGAAATGGAGAAACTTATTCAAGAAAGATCAAGTGTAATATATTATACAAATACAGCAAACTGGATGGAATATGGGGAAAAATGCACCAAATTATTTTTTAATCTTCAACATAGGAATGCTACCAAAAATAATTTACTGAAACTGGTTACAAATGACGGAGTCACCCATGATTCACCAAATGATAATTTGAAGGAAGAAACAAAGTACTTTAAGCATATGTTTTCGTTTCAGTCGCCTCCATCTCCTCTAACTGAAGCAAATTGTAGAGATTTTTTTCTATTGATAATGTAAAATTAACAGCCATACAGAAAGACTCATGTGAAGGTGAAATTACAGAGGAGGAACTTCTGGATACAATTAAAGACTTTAAGTCCGGGAAAACTCCAGGGTTGGATGGCATACCAGTTGAGGTATACCAAACCTTTTTTGATATACTCAGAGGACCGTTATTAGCATGTTTTAACCACTCCTATGTAAATGGTAGATTATCAGACACTCAAGAAGAAGGTCTGATTTCATTATTACTGAAACAGGATACAAGTGGAAAATATAAATTGGAGGCCCCTTACACTTCAGTGTTATGATGCAAAAATTCTAGCAAAATGTATAGCGCATAGAATTAAAAAGGTATTGTCGGACATTATTCATTCTAATCAGACAGGTTTTTTACATGGGCGATACATTGGAGATAATATAAGGCAAGTACTGGAAACAATAGAACACTATGAAAAATCTGGGAAACCACGCCTGCTATTCATAGCAGACTTCGAAAAGGCATTTGATAAAGTACGACTGGGGTTTATATATAAATGCCTGGAGCATTTCAATGTTGGACAATCTCTTATACATTTGGTTAAAATCATGTATAGTAACCCTAGGTGTAAAATAGTAAATAATGGCTATTTCTCAGAGAGTTTTAAACTGTCAAGAGGAGTGAAACAAGGTTGTCCACTATCGGCATGTCTATTTATTATGGCCATCGAGAAGTTAGCTATTAAAATCAGATCGAATAATAATATCAGAGGATTAGAAATCCAGGGCTTGAAAACAAAGATGTGCTGATGATTCATGTTTTCTTTTAAATCCACAACTTGAATCCCTCCACAGCCTCATAGAGGATCTAGATACATTTTCTAATCTCTCTGGATTAATAAATGTAGTATATTACGTATTGGATCACTAAAAAATTAAACTTTTACATTACCATGTAGTTTACCAATAAAATGGTCTGATGGTGATGTGGATATACTCGGAATACATATCCCAAATGAAATAAATGATCTCACTCCAATAAATGTTAATAGAAAGTTAGCAAAAATAGATAAGATCTTGCTACCATGGAAAGGTAAATACCTGTCAATTTGTGGAAAAATCACCCTGATTAACTCTTTAGTATTATCCCAGTTTACCTATTTGCTTATGGTATTGCCTATGCCTAGTGAACAGTTTTTTAAATTATATGAGAAAATAATATTCCATTTTATTTGGAACGGCAAGCCAGTCAAAATTAAATGGGCCTATTTATATAATGAATATGAATTCGGAGGACAGAAATTATTAAATATTAAAGCATTAGACTTATCACTAAAAGCTTCAGTCATACAAAAGTTATACTTAAATCCGAACTGGGTCTCTAGCAAATTAGTAAGATTGTCTCACCCAATGTTCAAGAATGGCCTTTTTTCCCTTTATTCAGATTACAACCTCTCACTTTAAGTTATTTGAAAAGGAAATAATCTCCCAAATATCACTATTTCTAAAACAAGCCATAGAAAGTCGGTTGCAATTTCAATTTAATCGTCCAGAAATGACTGAACAAATATTGCAACAAATATTGTGGTTAAACTCAAATATACTAATTGATAAAATAAAATTGTGAGTTATGTCACACATGCATATGGAAATGTCTGCTCTACCCAAAATTACAACCAAATAATTGCAGCATTACTGCAAAAATGGAAGAGGAAAGTGGAAGAGGGAAAAAGTAAGGAACTTGTCTGTCGGCCTTGCATTAAAGAACATAATTGGTTAAAGAAAATTGTGATAAATAAAAAGGTATACCAGTTTCATTTAAGGACCAAAGGATTGACAGCCGTCCCATATAGATTGCAAAATAGTTGGGAAGAGATTTTTGACATACCGATTCCATGGCATAGTGTTTATGAACTGATACGCAAAACGACGCCGGATTCAAAACTTAAAATCTTTCAATTTAAATTATTATATACAATTCTTGCTACCAATAGAATGTTATTTATATGGGGGATACAATCTTCCTAGCTCTGAAGATTTTGCTGCGAAGAGACAGAATCATTAGATCATTTGTTTTGGTACTGTCCATTTGTAGCTTGTTGTTGGACAAAGGTCCAGGAATGGCTAAACAATTGCAATATTTACCTGGAGCTAAACCTGCAGATAGCACTACTGTGTGATCTGAAAAGCCATAGTCAATCGATCAATAATATAATAATACTTTTAGCAAAATTGTTTATTTTCAATTTACGATCTGTATAAACAATGAGAATAGAAATGTTCAGAACTTTTGTAAAACATCACAGTACAGTTGAAAAATATATGGATGGTGTTAAGAGATAGATGGGAGGTGTTGAATGGAGCTGAAGGATGGGACTAATAACAACAACTAATAACAACAAGATAAGTAATGTAAAGCATACTGTGTCCATAATAAGTATATAGGTTATATGTTGAGAGCTTTTGTGAAAGAGCACAGTTAGAAAAATATGGCATATAGAAGCAAACCAGATGGGCATCATGAAAATGATCGGAGGAAGTTCAGGAGTAAAAACAAACAAAATATAATTATTGTAAAATTTGACTGTGTCCGGCCCTGCATAGGTATGAAATACACATACATTATTTACACTGTAATATCACCAGCTGGTGTCCTGGCATGATACTGTAGTAATTGAGACTGGGGCCTCAGGGGTCATCTTGTGAGAGACCAGCTCCCTCTAGTGGTGCAATAGAACATTATATTACATATATTACCCTCTTGGTGACAGTAGACCACTGATCTAGCAACAGCTGGCTTATTCTTTCTCCTGATCATAACCATTTGTGAATTAGGGTACATAGCTGATCCTAGGTCAGATTGAACTAGAAAGACAATGGTGCACTGCCCAAGTAGTCAGAATATATACCAAGTTGTACCAAGTTTGGTGTCTAAGGGGTAGAAGTTGCAGCAGTGGGCAGAAAAAGATAAACAATATAAATACAATTGCAATACTGGAATACCATTGATGAGATGAATAAAAAACGTATCTTTATTAGGACGATGTCCAGATGATCCTCCAGCAACAGCTCCAGAGCCAGCAGCAGCAGGCAGCAGAACAAGCCCAGAGGAAGCCCTCCCGTCTGGGGCTGCTGAGGAGGACCAACAGACCCCCCATCCAGAGGCCAGTCTCTACCCCCTTGACCTACACCCCTGGACAGGTTCCCGTTAGTACCCCCGTCCCTTCCCCCTCTCCCACCCCCCAATGTACCCCTGTCACCTGGAGGGACAGGCTGAAAATGGGGAAGGTGGGTCGTCATGGTGACCAGGATGCAGAGCAGGCATTGCAGGCATCGCGGTCGACGTGCAGCAGCAGACTGGAGGAGGGGTTTCATACCATAGACTTATAATAACACATCATACACAACATCATATGCATTTAAGGGAGGGACACGACACATACATGTATCTATGTATATACTGGTAGCTACTTTATCAATCTTTCTAACTGTGGATTCTTACTGGGAGAGATACATTGAGCTGATAGTTAGATACACGGTCACAAGCAGATTCATTCTCCAATCTACTAGTACTGTGTACCGCTCTGATCTGTTTGGCTTTAGGAAAAAATTCTTAAGAGCATTCTGTGTATTGGTTGCCTGGATACTACATTTGGGTTGGAGATTTTCCCTCCAACTGTAAGCATTAATTTTCTACTGTAATGACAAGCAGTCATGTTGACTGTAACACGTGTCTCTGATTAAAGGGACAATCCTTAGTTGCTACAGAAAAATACATTTTTGGACCCATTGATTCTTGAAGAATATAACATTTAAATGTCTCATGAGCTTAGTTCAACTGCCGTACCCCATCAGAACACAAAATATAAGCTTGTTTTACTCCAATGTTTGTAAATAAAGTAAACGTAAACAAACAGGGCCAATTGCAGCCACTCCTGGCCTAAGGTGAATCAAACCCCTTCAAACTCCCACAAACCTTGTTATCGTTCATTCTGAATCTGATATCAAAAGAGACAACTTCAATGGACAACATACTCTGTAGTTTAGTCAACTACTATTGCAGGGCTCAGCATTATGCAAACAATGGTTACAATGTCTTTAAACATATATTTCATTCTATACACACACACACACACACACACGCACACACACACACACACACACACACACACACACACACACACACAATGTTAATCATTGGACTTTTAAAAATAAACAAGACATACAGGTTTCAATGTAGAAAAGTATTGAAATGTTATGTCATAAAACCTATAATTTGTTAATCTGATTACAGTGCTCTTCTGCAATTATTAATTATGTAGCCTTTATGTAAGGCAGGGTTACATTTTACACTATACACAGTAGACTTTATAACAAGGCAGGGTTACATTTAACATTATACACAGTAGAATTTGTAACAACGTTACGGAGCGGAGCGGAGATTAGCATACGCATCCAATACAATAGGTGGCAGCATATACGATCAATGTACAATTCAGCAGAACATTTCTGAATATCTGTAGAAGAAGAGGATAGGGGTGATACAATACAAACAACACAACATTACAAAAAGGCAACATATGATGAAGAGACACTTATCGATGAAGAGGAGGAAGAGTTGCTGTGTCTTATGTTGGAGCGGAGAAGGAGGAACCGCAGGAGAAGATGGTCAGTGCGACCTCTTAATATAACCAGACAGCAAGAAATCCTACTTGTGCAGAAAATGTGTGGCATTAATGAGGAGATGCACTTTTGGTACTTCAGGATGTCTCCTAACCGATTCAACGATCTCATCCAGCGCCTTGCCTCGTACATCAAACATGTGAATACCCATAGTACTTCGGTGGATGTGTCCGAGCGTTTGGCGGTGACCCTTCGGATCCTCGCTTCTGGGAGTTCTCAGGATAGTGTGGCTGCAAGCTACAAGCTATGTTCCTCCACGGTGTCTGCGATTCTCTCTGAGGTTTGCAAAGCCCTTTGGACAGACCCGAGGAGCGAGTTTGTCTGCTTTCCTAAAGGTTACCAGTGAAAAGACATTGTAAACTAATTCTGGAGGGTGTGGAACCTTCCAAATTGCCTTGCTTGTATTGATGGGCCGCACGTCCAGGTCAAGGCACCTCCTTCAGCGGGTAGTGATTATTTCAATTACAAGGGCACAGACTCCATAGTGCTTCTTGGAGTATGTGATGGCCACTATCATTTCACCATGGTAAACGTGGGGGCATACGGACGGCAAAGCGATGAAGGAGTGTTTCAGGAGGGCACCTTTGGGTCTCGTCTCCTCGAGGGGAAGCTCGAGTTGCCACCACCTCAAGACCTGCCTGGCACCACAACCACAGTCCTGCATGTGTTTGTTGGAGATGCTGCTTTCCCCCTCCATGGTAATCTCATGCGCCCCTATCCAGGTATGTACAGTGAGGGAAAAAAATATTTGATCCCCTGCTGATTTTGTACGTTTGCCCACTGACAAAGAAATGATCAGTCTATAATTTGAATGGTAGGTTTATTTGAACAGTGAGAGACAGAATAACAAACAAAAAATCCAGAAAAAAACGCATGTCAAAAATTTTATGAATTGATTTGCATTTTCATGAGGGAAATAAGTATTAGACCCCCTCTCAATCAGAAAGATTTCTGGCTCCCAGGTGTCTTTTATACAGGTAACGAGCTGAGATTAGGAGCACACTCTTAGAGGGAGTGCTCCTAATCTCAGTTTGTTACCTGTATAAAAGACACCTGTCCACAGAAGCAATCAATCAATCCGATTCCAAACTCTCCACCATGGCCAAGACCAAAGAGCTCTCCAAGGATGTCAGGGACAAGATTGTAGACCTACACAAGGCTGGAATGGACTACAAGACCATCGCCAAGCAGCTTGGTGAGAAGGTGACAACAGTTGGTGTGATTATTCGCAAATGGAAGAAACACAAAATAACTGTCAATCTCCCTCGGCCTGGGGCTCCATGCAAGATCTCACCTCGTGGAATTGCAATGATCATGAGAACGGTGAGGAATCAGCCCAGAACTACACGGGAGGATCTTGTCAGTGATCTCAAGGCAGCTGGGACCATAGTCACCAAGAAAACAATTGGTAACACATTATGCCGTGAAGGACTGAAATCCTGCAGCGCCCGCAAGGTCCCGCTGCTCAAGAAAGCACATATACATGCCCGTCTGAAGTTTGCCAATGAACATCTGAATGATTCAGAGGAGAACAGGCTGAAAGTGTTGTGGTCAGATGAGACCAAAATGGAGCTCTTTGGCATCAACTCAACTCGTCGTGTTTGGAGGAGGAGGAATGCTGCCTATGACCCCAAGAACACCATCCCCACCGTCAAACATGGAGGTGGAAACATTATGCTTTGGGGGTGTTTTTCTGCTAAGGGGACAGGACAACTTCACTGCATCAAAGGGATGATGAACGGGGCCATGTATCGTCAAATCTTGGGTGAGAACCTCCTTCCCTCAGCCAGGGCATTGAAAATGGGTCGTGGATGGGTATTCCAGCTTGACAATGACCCAAAACACACGGCCAAGGCAACAAAGGAGTGGCTCAAGAAGAAGCACATTAAGGTCCTGGAGTGGCCTAGCCAGTCTCCAGACCTTAATCCCATAGAAAATCTGTGGAGGGAGCTGAAGGTTCGAGTTGCCAAACGTCAGCCTCGAAACGTTAATGACTTGGAGAAGATCTGCAAAGAGGAGTGGAACAAAATCCCTCCTGAGATGTGTGCAAACCTGGTGGCCAACTACAAGAAACGTCTGACCTCTGTGATTGCCAACAAGGGTTTTGCCACCAAGTACTAAGTCATGTTTTGCAGAGGGGTCAAAGACTTATTTCCCTCATTAAAATGCAAATCAATTTATAACATTTTTGACATGCGTTTTTCTGGATTTTTTTGTTGTTATTCTGTCTCTCACTGTTCAAATAAACCTACCATTAAAATTATAGACTGATCATTTCTTTGTCAGTGGGCAAACGTACAAAATTAGCAGGGAATTTTTCCCTCACTGTATAGTATATACATCAGTGGCAGTCGGTGCCGTTTAAGATGAGGGAGGACATTACATTTTTTTATGAGCATGGCCTTATTTCTATTACAGCATATTGATGACTGTCATTCATATTCCATTCACTCAGCTCAATGTAACATCGATAGGTTTAGGTAAAATTTTCCTTATACCCATCATGAGGTTGCTACAACCTAGCCTATGAATGAAAGTTTTGAGTAATCAAGGTGACAGACATAGACATATTCAATGTCGCCTTCCACAATCTTGCCTGAATCTCACTGATCTAGGGTGCAATCATTAGTCCAACAGTTGCAAACAAGAGTTTCTATTGGACAAATTCAGGTATGTTTATTCCCGTTTCGTTTTGTTTGCTTCCATTTAAGAACGTTTTTGAACAGAATTGGCGGAATTAATACACCCCTGATCACATGCAAGCACAGTTCACTTTCATAGCAGCGAGATGGTTGTATAATTTCTTCTTGCATCTACGCGCTCTTCTCCTCTCACCTTTTTCCTTCGCTTGTGGACTTCACTGGACAACACATCAGCTGTCTGTGACCAGACGAAAAAACCTTTCCAATCGCTAACCACTACACACAGACTACATTGTTGTGACCATATTAGCTAACGTCAAGTAAACAACATAGCTACTAGAACTAATGCATTAGTAAACCCGCTACAATCATGCAGTACAGTCCCCTGTAGCTCAGTTGATAGAGCATGGTGCTTCCAACGCCAGGGTTGTGGGTTCGATTCCCACCGGGGACCAGTATGAAAAAGAAAATATGTATGCACTCACTAACTGTAAGTCGCTCTGGATAAGAGTGTCTGCTAAATGACTAAAATGTACAGTGTACAGTTGGCAAGCAGTTTAGCAGTTACACCGGTGGGCACCGGTGGCATTAAATAAATTAATAAAACCAAATTCTTACCTTGAAGAGTTCCAGTGCTGGCTAGCCATAGCCAGCTAGGTAACATAGCATCCCTCTCTGTTTGAGCCGGGTGTTTGTGTAGGCTAAACTAGCTAGCTGCATTAGCGGAGCTAAGTAAATTAAGGTGAAAGTAAAAAATATATATACAGTAATTGAAATAAATTCATTAGGCCCTAATCTATAAAAAAAAAAAAGTAGAGGGTGTGGATGAGAAAACCAGTCAGTATCTAGTGTGACCACCATTTGCCACATCTCCTTCGCATAGAGTTGATCAGGCTGTTGATTGTGGAATGTTGTCCCACTCCTCTTCAATGGCTGTTCGAAGTTGGCGGGAACTGGAACACACTGTCATAACTGTCCATCCAGAGCATCCCAAACATGCTCAATGGGTGACATGTCTGATCAGTAGAACTGTAGGCCATGGAAGAAATGGGCCATTTTCAGCTT